ACATGTATAAAATAACAATATTTACTTTTTAAATTAAAATTGCACTTCTTCAAATCTTAAACCTTTAACTCTTTTTTTTTTTTTTAATTACATACAATTCACTTATCTAGTTCTTTAATTTCCATAATTTATTATTAAAATAAATTGCATAAAATCAACTTATACTAACATAATAATTTATCTCGAAACCAATTTCTCTCCTCCATATATACTAATTGAATCCTAACAAAATTAATATAATTATCTTTGGAAACTTTTACTAAGTTCCAGAAATTTGAAGGACAGCAACAAACTTAAAAAAAAAAAAAAACTTTATAATACAACCAATTACGTATATGTTTCTTTTTTTACTTCTTTCCTAAATTTCTCTAATTTTCTTCTCCCTTCTTCTATTACTCCACAAAAAGTGCCCATAAATAGCCATTGCAAACACCTCTTCAGGAAACAAAAAAGTAACTTAGACGGATTTTTTTAATGTTTCTTAATTTTTTTTTTAAATAATAGGAAAATTAACTATTTTTATATATTAACTTTATACTTTAATTAATTAATTTTCGGTTACTTCTATTGCAGTTCTTAATTTAAACTAACGTTAAGTTAATACTTAAATACTATTTCGAGTTAATACTTAATAAAAATAAACATTCAGTTCATAATTAATAATAATATAGTTGATATATCTTCAAAAAATTATCTTGATCGGGCATGAATCTCGAGCCAAAATCAAGCCGGAAAATTAAAAAATTAAATCTGGGATCATTTGAACTCCGATTTCAGCGAACTTACAGTCAAACAGAGCGTCTTGGAAATACAAACTCAACGACACTAAATTCGGCTCAATTCGAGCCCAAATGAGTCTAAATCATGCACATGAAGCGCTATTGAAAAGTTCAAATCACAATTTGAGTTACCAAACGGTTTACAAATATGATTGAATCGAGCGACTCGACGAGATGAATCCAACGAGCCCAAGATCGCAGAATTTCGACATCATTAAGACCTTCAAATTTTCGACGAACGGTACACAATCAAGGGATTCAATATCAGTCATCCATCCAACCACTCCTCATTTTACCTCTAATCTCTCACCTATATACGAGTCATGCCACTCCATAAATCTACAAATAAACCTCTCATTTCTCTTGAAAGGGGACCCAAGCAAGAAGAAGAAGGAGAAGAGAAGAGAGGGCGAATAGGAGGGAAGAAACTCCTCCTCGACCATCGCCGTCGGAATTCCTCCCTACCTCCAAGTGACGCCGGAATTCTGCCCGATCTCCAAGTGACGCTGGAGTTTTGCCTAAATATCATCTAACGTTGGAGTTCTCCTCGGTCGCCAACTGATGTCAAACTTCTACCCGACGTCGGACCTCCGCTCGTCGCCAAGTTTCTACCCGACGCCGGACTTCTGCCTGTTGTTGGACTTTAGCCGAACATCTATCCGATGCTGGATTTCTACCTGATGCCATCCTTCTGACCTTCATTATCAGACAATATTTCTTCTAACCTCCGTCCCCCGCCGACTACGGTCCTCTTGATTTATGTCGCCCACCGACTATAGTCCTTCCGACCTCCGTCACCAGCCGATTACGGTCCTCCTGACTCACGTCGCCCATTGACTACATTCCTTCCGACCTCCATCGCCTGCCGACTACGATCCTTCTAACTTACGTCACCCACCGACTACAGTCCTTCCAACCTCTATCGCCAGCAGATTACGGTCCTTCTGATTTATGTCGCCCACGTACTACAGTCCTTCAGACCTCAGTCGCTAGTTGACTACGGTCTTTCTAATTTACGTTGACCACCGACTACAGACTTACGTCGACCACCGACTACAGTTCTTCAGACCTACGTCGCCCGTCGATTACGGTCTTTTTGACTTACGTCGCCCACTAACTACAGTCCTTCTAACCTTCGTCGCCCACCGACTACAATCCTTCATACCAAACAAACACATCATCAGTGATTCTTTGTATTCTCATAATATAATGTACTCTATAAGATGTACATCAAGTTAAGGTCTTCCCCCAAGGAAGGGCCTCATTTGTAATCAACTGCAATAATAGTGAATTCATTCAAACTGTGCTAGGCCCCACAATTTTTTCCCCTTTTTTAGGGGTTTTCCACGTAAAAATCTTGGTGTCTCTAGTGAATGATGCACAATATCTTTTTATCTGTGTGTGCTGGATCTTTGTATAATGCTAGACATTAAACTTTATATTTCTCTACCGCTGCGAATACTCCTTGACGCAACAATAGTGATTATAGTAATTATTAGTTAATAGTAACTAATAGCAATTAAACTTTAATATAAAAATTTAGGTTAATTTAATAAATCCAAATCTATATTTTTACATGAAACTTTTGGGTATTACAGTCATGATGCTTAGTCGATGGAGTTATAACGACCTCGAGCTTGACTTGTGAGCTTGACTCGATATAAAATGAAGTTAGGATGCTTAGTCACTAGATTTATCGTGGGCTTGAGCTTGACTCGTGAGCTTGGCTTGCCAGTGAAGAAGAACAAGATTTCAGCTCGTGATCTTTGCTCACCAGAGAAAGGAGAAAGTAAGGAAGCTTGGCGATGGAGTAAGGACCCATTTAATAATATATTAAGGCATCGTTTGGGACAACTTTCTTATTGCTTTGTAAAACTGTTGTAAAAAAGTAAATTTTTTAAGTTATTGTAGAAAACAACTTTCTAGCATAACTTTTTAAAATAATGAAAAAGTAGTGGCCAAATAAAAATTAATAAATTTTGATTGTGATATGAAAAGTAAAATAGTAAAAAAGTTATCACAAACGAAGCCTAAATATAATTTGCTTTTCTTTTTTTCTTATCAATTGAAATTTATTAATATTTTTAATCATAGTTTTAGAAATTTCTTACTGTTTTCTATAGTAGTTTTTTAGTAACAAAATTTATAGTAAATTTTTTTTTTGTGCTAAAAAATTACTTTAAAAATAATAAAAAAATTGTTCTAAATGAAGCCTTAATTGAAGAATTCCTTGATTAAGAAGTATATAAAACTTATTTCCTTGTGATGCTCCCTTAATCAATAGTGGAGAAATAGGGAAGCATGTCCCATACATTTTTTCTTGCTTCAAAGTTTGTCCATCTCTAAGTGGAAAGAGATTCATAATAATTATTTTTATAATATGATCATATATTGATTGCTCAAATTTTTATTAAAGATGTTAGTGGCACATTTCTTTTATAAAAAAAAAAAAATCATTGCATCTTTTCTTATTTGCGTAAAGTTTGAATTATTCTTAAATTTAAATGTTGATTAGGATGACATTCAACTTCTTTTTATGAAGGGTGCAAACAAGTCGTGCTGAGCTCGAGTTTGGGCTAATTCAAACTCGAGCCTGTTTAATATGCCGTAAGCTCGTTGACGAATCAAGTTTAAGTTGGCTCAATATGTGGCTTGGCTCAGTTGCATCATAATGATGAAAACATAAATTACCTTCGATTGTTTTTTTTTTTTTTCGATAAATAAATTATCATATTTTTTATGTTTATTTTTTGATGATCAATTTTCACATAATTCATGATAATTGCCAAGAAACTATCAGATTTTTAGCTTCTTTGATCTAATCATTTACTTTATCCATACTACAAAAAAAGTCATTGTTTGTTTACGCATGTGATGTGAACATTAATGATCAAATAGTCTTATTAACTTATAAGCACATTAACATATATTACTTATATTTGTGGTGCAAGGCCTTTTCAATATAGGCTAAATCCATCCCTTATGTACAAAAATTTATAGATATTAGATAACCTAAGTGTCGTATTTTTACTACAATATTTCATATTAATGTAAAGGCATTTAATACAACGCTATATGGTGTCGAAGGTGGCAATATGAATAGAATATATAGGCTTTGTTTGTGATAGCTTTTTTACTGTTTTCTAAAATAATTTTTTGGTACAAAAATTTATAATTTAAGAAACTTTTGTATTAGAAATCTGCTTTAAAAAGCAGCAAGAATGCCATCCCAAATGAAACCATAATATAGGTCAAATCAAGATTTTTTTTTTAAACTTTTGGCTTTAAACCAAATTATAGGTCAAATAAAGTGAATATAGCAAATGATCTAATCTTATCGTAATCCTAGCATATGTGTGTTAGTATTCTAGTCAACAAGAGACATTGAAAAAAATATTTTTTATAATTGATATCAAGATTAGGGGTGACAAAATTGATTGACGAGTTGAGTTCGGGCCCGACCCAAACTTGATATAACCCAAATCCAATCAACCTAAATTGAACTGTTTAATAAATGTGTAAAAAGGAGTGTTTGAAAACCGGACCATACCGGCCGGTTCGATCGTGAAAGAGTTTTATGGTCGGTTCAGTCCTCCTGAAGAAACAGTCTTGTATCAAACCGGTCAAAACCAGCTGACCGTTGAACCGGTCCGATTCTTAAGAACCGACCGGTTCAACTAATAATATTTTTAAATACTTTAATTTAATATAAAATATTTAATTAATTTAAATATCATATATTTTATTTAACAATAAAATTTTAAATATTTAATTACATTATATGTTAAATATACACATAATCTTACTCATATGATGCCATAATACCATGTGAGCTCTTAACCATTGGATACAAGAAAAGGAATATAAACAACACAACATAAAACTCCTAAGTGATGTGGACAACTAGTAGTTTTTAGTTTTAACTTTCAACAATATATGCATGAGATTTATTTGAATAAGAATTTATTGGAAAAATTTTTTGTAGAGTATTAAAAAAATCATTATAATAATTTTAAACTTCTTAAATTTATAATTAATTATATATTTATAATTATTCAAATAAAAATAATGTGGTATATTCTATTTTCTGATATTAACTTCGCGTTAAAAAATTCTGATCTGTCAAACAACAATTTTAAAACTATCTTATACCAAAATTAGAGAATAAAAAGACGAAACTTTAATCTTTCTAAATATTTTTTAGCGGGCGACCCGCGCTGCCCTTCAACTCCCTCTTCTTTCGCGCATTCCCCTCCACTTTCGCGGGAGATTGAAACAACTTAATCGTTAGGTCGGCGAGGGAAAGCTTATAAAAACCTCTCCCAACTATTCCAATGTATCCTTCTTTCGATCATAGATTCCTTCGCCGTTGCTCTTCCTCTTCCACCTTCAGAAATCTTTTCTCTGATCAACAATCCTTGGCTGCAAATCCACAAACGAGTAGGTAAGACTCAAGAGATTTATATTTTTCCTTTTGGTATTCGTACGTTCTCGAGATTTTTATTTTTGTTAGGAAATTAGAAGATATTTGCATTTCTCTGTATGATTCTCTGCTAAAATCATTAAAAGTTGAAGTAGGCATGTACTGTGAATGACATTCGGTTGTGTTCATTCTTCAATTTTTGTTTTTTACTTCAACCAAAACAAGAAAAGTGAAATGTAAGTTATAACTAATTACTTCTCAACCAAATAAGTAGATGAAAGTTGAATTTCTATCAAAGTTCTTCATCATTATTTTTTATATTTCGTTTTCCTTTTTCCTCTTTCAAGTCTTTCAAACCAAACAAATTGAATGATTTTTAATTTGAGAGGCTGGGAAGTAGACCATTTTGTATGAAAATCTTCTTGGTTAGTCATTGTATTTTGATATGTTTAGATTTAATTAGAGAGACAACAATATATTTCGGCAATATCGGTAAAATTACACAGAAATGTTTATTAATTTTATTGTACACATTTCAAAGCCTTTTTAGATAATTGATATTGAAATAGTTGGGAAACTCATGATGAGTTTTAATACTGAGGATGGTATAATTTGTGGAAGAGCTTCCTTTGGCAAACTCCTTGGCACATTCCTTAGTGAAATCTTTTGGCGAGTTCAGTAACGAGTTTGTTCTGAGTAAGCAAGCTGCCTTAGGATATGCTTCAATTGCCAAGTTCTTCAAGTGTAGATCTTCTCTTCTGACAACTTCAGCTTTGAGGTGATTTTTATTTAGTTGAATTTAATTGAATGCTTTTTTAGATGACATAAGGCTTTTAACTGGTTTGTTTTAGTGCTTAGTGATCCGTTGAATTAGGGTTTATAACGACAATAAGATTGATTAAGTTGTCCTAGATGCATTGGGTGCATGTTGAAAATCGATAGTGTTTATGATCTTCTTCTTTTTATCCGTTATGTTAGCCATGAGACTTTTTCACAACTTCAACTTCATTTATAAAATTATTATTTAAAAAAAAACAAACAAACCGATTGGCTTACATCTATTGCTAACATTGTTCGATAAATCAAACTGTTACAAATCTGCAATCAAAAACATTATAGGAAAATATATAGAGCAGAGAAATCTTGAGGTAGAAAATGCTATGTATTTCACCGTGGAACGGTTCAGTGAATAATACACTTATATATGGAAAACTAGTAACAGAATGCTGTTAGCAAAGGACATTCCTATGTGGCTTGGCACATGTAATGGGAATATTCATCATGTGCAGAGTAACTATTTGAAAGTGATAGAATCTTCTAGATGCTTTGCTGTAACACAAACAACCCCTTAATTAAGAGGGATTTTTAGATGAACATAGCTTAAAAATATTGCTTTCATATTTACTCATTATTTTGCTCTTTATTACTCTATATTTGTATAAAAAGTATATTTCCTTTTCATTTCAGTTCTTTGCAATGGAGGCCAACAAACAGGAACTTGTCTCCAATTTTCTTGAGATCACAATGTGCAATTGCAGAGTTTCTGCTTTGAAGATCCTTGAGGTTCATAGTTATATTTGTCATTAACATATTTTTATTATAAAATGATTTTTATCATGCAATGCATGATGCAAAAATGTTTAATTATCTTCTACAGGATGTAGAATGGAACATTGAGGCTGCTATTCAATTGTTTTTTGAGGGTGGAAGCTCACATGGAGAATCGGCAGTGCTACCATCTAATCCTTTTTTGTATTCAGATTCCACTATTGTACCTACGTAAGTTATTTGTGATTTTTTGAAATAATTTCTGTATTTGTTTCTTTGGTAGGTTTTTGAAATATTTGAATTTGATTTTTGAAAAAAAAAAAAAAATTTGTAGTGGTTGGGGCTCAGCCGATGAAGATGAAGATGAAGTTGATGATGGTCAAAACCATTTTGACCTTGATGCCACTATCCAACCTAGGTAAGTCGATTTTTTTTTAATATAAGTATGGAATTGGTTTCTTTGGTGGTTTTTTGAATAAAGTAATTTTGAAAATGGGGTTAGGTGCACAGCGAATGGAAATGTAAGTGAAGAAGCTCTAGAACGTCTGAATTTATATTCCGGAATTGTACCTACGTAAGTGGATTTAAGGCTTGATTCTTTAAACTAATTTTTGCTAGCATTTGAAATATTTTATTCTAAAAAAAAATATTTTCAGGGGTTGGGGTTCAGCAGATGAAATTGAAGTTGTTGAATCTCAGGAACATGATGATAATGAACATGGGTATAAATGAGTGTGATAATCAACCATTCATTATTTCAATCATACAACATATTATTCCTCTGATAATTTTAATAATATTGTAATTTCTCTTCTTACATGAATGGAATGTTGATGTTGCGGACTTGCATTCATTAGTGTTGATGGAGTCCTTGAATATCCCAATTTTTCACCACTTAGTAATGAGAGGCTTTATGATGATGATTCAGAATCAGATAGGTATGTTGATCTTATTCACTATTTTAAGATTGTATTTAGGCTATTTCATTTAGCTTAAATGAATGTTGTTTTGTAAGCTTTTTTTTCTTTTAAAATTTACAGCTTTATTGTGATGTATGAAAATTATATCTTAGATTTTAGTATGTTTAATTTTTCACTTTGATGATTTCTCTATAGTTTTTAAATGTGAATGTAGAAAGGTTATTCAATTTTCTTTATGTAGCAAATTTTTAGTTTTTAGCTTTGCACAATACTTAAGTATGAAGTTTGTGGTAACAATTTTGAGCTAAATAAGTGATAATGGTGTGATTATAAAATGGAAAATGCATGCAATACTATATGCGTGCTGAAAATGTTGAAGAAGGAAAGAAACTAATTTTGCATGATACTAAAAGAGTAAAAGTAGTTTTGCATGTATATAAATCATTGATAAATATAAGATTTGTTAAAATGTATTTAGTTAAAGTTACCAAATAGCCAGTAGTTAATAGAACTTCCAGGCAAATTATAAATAGATTTTGTATTATTGTCTATAGGTCATATAGGTTATGATATGCTGAATCACAAGGATCAAATATTACAGAAATGATGAGTTTCTAGTCTAAATGTCTTTATCAAAATTATTAATAATCCACATACTATTGTAATTTTAATCTGTCATAAGGTGTAGATATCTCAGTTACCTGAATTTTTTTTAGTTAAGATATTTGTTGGCATTATTTTGCTCCATCATCCCCTTTTGTGTTGTAATGTATTAGTTTGGAAGAATTATGATTTTTTTAGCTAAAGAGTTCTTTCTCTCTATTATAGTTAGAAGTTTAACTTTTTGCTTGTATGACATTTAATTAGTTACTACAAATAATAGCTTATACTCATTAAGTTGAATTTTAAATTTAGTTATTTAATTTAGGACTAATTCAACCATAATAGTGTGCTAGAAATTGAATGGACTTTATCAAATGATTAGTTTTGAGCGAGTGGTCTATTTTTTATTTACATTTAGCCAATTAAGCAATGCATAGCATTATTTTTAAAGTTTTTATTATACTTGTCAACTTATGTAATTGTAGGTTAGAGTCAAGTTCTGGGACATCTGAAGATTATGATTCGAAAGAAGAAGAATATAACGAAACAAATCTCTCTATGTTGCATGGACGTCCAAATTACATTTTTCACGGGCACTTTCATGAGGTATACAAACTATAGCATTAAAATTATCTTCTTATGATACAGAGAGATTGCTTTTTTTCTTCTTAATATTTTATTTCCCTTTGTGAATTTCTATTCAATTAGAAAATTTGTTATAGTTTTCAAATCGGCTTAATTTTAATCAATGGTTTTTTTGGTATTGTATTTTAATTGTAACTTAAATATTAATGTTGTTGGAACTATTTGATACTTAAATTCTTTTGTTTTAAACCCTCACTATGGGGCCTATACATTAAATAAATATGAATATTACAAGTCTTTAGTGAATCATCAACCCTCTAAAAATACATCATTTGAAATAAAACCTATGAGTAGTCTATCCAATCTACTACAAGAGAAAACAAAGAAAAGAAACTAAATAAAAGAAAAGAAACAACAACCAACAAAGGAGTAGAAAGGCCAACAGAGATGAAAGAAAGCCAAGGAGGAACCCAAAGAGAGAAGCCACCCGATCAGGAAAACCTGAAAAACAACACTATATCCACAATTAACAAAATTAAATTATAAAGGAACCTGCAAAAAAGGACACCACAACCTCAACCCAGCACCCCTTCTAAACAAAAGCCAAGCACCTCCTTCACAACCAGCACCACAACAAGGCCTCCCTACAAAATAACCAAAACCACAGTGAGCCGGAAAACCCACATCCAAAGAAAACAAACCGAAACCCAAGCTAAAGTAAAAAAAAGAAAGAACTATTTCTTTTTAGACTTCTTTCTACAACGTTTGCCTCCACCTTGACCAAAAGTTTTTTCAATAATACGATTAACATTCAAATTGCAAAATTCCTGAGCATCCTCATTTGGCCCAAAGAAATCCTCCCCATCACCCCTGCAAGGTGAGGAGAGAGACTCCTAAAGCCAATTATTTTGATTCGAAATAACTGTCAATTGAGCTTTCATGACCTCATTTGAAATAAACAAAACAGTGACTTCAAAAATATGCTTGTTTAATGGTTCCAACAAAGTCACAGGAGAGTCCACAGAAACAACCTCCATACCAGAGGAATTAATTGCATCCCCTACTGCAATAGGCACATCAACACCAACCAAAGAGCTCAATACTTCACAGCCCCCAGCAGCAACATCTATATGAACACTAAGAGAAATAATAGGACTAGCAACACAATTAACCATACAATTATTAGCTTCCCTTAACCTCATTAACACTGCAAGATGTAGCCAAAGGATGAAAATCCTCCACATTAAAAATAGGCTTAATTATAGCACCATTAGGATCCTTAAACACCCCAATTAGAGCATCAATAGAACCATGCGCCCCAATGTTATCCAAAGAATCAACATTAGCAATAGCATGCTCCTTAGCAATAACCGTATAGTTTGCCTCACTATTATCCTCATTAAGAATCTTATGAATAACATGGATAACATTTAAGGAAGGAAGAACAATATTAACCAAAGTATCATTATTAACAATAGCATTCTCTTCAAAAATAACATTAAGATTAACCGGATTAGCAGCATTAACACCAGCATTCATCGAGGTAGAGGAGGAAATAAGACGACAATCACCTTTGATATGTCCAATACTTTTACATAGTGCACAAAAGGAGGAAATTCTTCCATGATTATATTCTGAATATAACCTAATTTTTTAGGACCTAACCAAACATTATCAGGAAAACTTTTAGTGATGTCAAGTTCAACTAAAACACAGGCAACAAAGGAATGGGAGCCATTACAGGTCGCATTATAAACTTTTAGCGGTCGACCAAAAAGTGAACCAAGACCATGAAGGATACGAGGAGAAAGTAGGTGAGGGGCACATGTTAGGGAAGGAGATCCAAATAGGAATTACAGGAGACTCCACGGCAATATCAAGGAGGGGCGACCATTTGATCAATTTCGTATAATAGTTATTAACAAGTTAAGATCTATGGAAAAAAACTCTACTGTAATCCAAGTCATTAATCAACTTAATCAAAATGTGAGAAGAATCCAATAAAGTAATGGAGAAATCGCTAATAAGTTTTAGATTAAAGAAAAACCTTTGGATAGAGTCAAGAGAGGGGTCGTGAGGGAAAGAAACCAACTAACGCAAAATACAGAGCCGTTGCAAGGGTGAAAATTTCTTCCTCAGAAATCCATAGAAACAACAAGCCATGAAAAGAGGTAGGTTTTAGATCAAAAAACCTCGCATCAAGGGAAGAGCCATAGAGAGCATTGTGGAAAGACTGCGACTTGATTGGGCCATCCAAAAATCCAAGGTCGACCAAGCGATTTACCACCATACCAGCCAAAGTGGCCGGTGGTGGACGAATCAAAAGAAACGGGAAAGCAAAAAATAGCACAAAAGGAAAAGGGGAAATAGAAGACTTCCTTGAGCAAAAAATCGACGAGGCAGAGCCTCCAGCAGCGCCGAGGATGCACTAGGGAAAAAACCCTTTGACACTTAGATTCTTTATACCCCATATGAACTTTTTTAGGTTTTTCTAGGAGATGTCAATTACATTTAGTTTTGATTGTGACATAAACACCAAAAGGAACATCCAAGGGATCACAGTCACTAGACTTATGTTCTAGCATTGACTTGACAACATCTACCAGTTGACCTCTAACTGCTTTACTAACCATCTTACAACTTCTAGCCTATCTCACGATCCCACGATCTCACATAATTGTTCCCATTTACAGCACAAAATGATCCCAGCACTCTCAATACGCTCTCACGCTCACTTTGCAATCGAAATCAAGATTTCTTTCTTTCTCTCATGCTCGTTTCCCTCTATGTCAGAACGACACCAACATCCCGTCTCATCCTCTACAAACGAACTCACTTGCGAGTAAAGCCGAGCTCAATGACCCTTTGCTTACAACTCGAGCCTCCTCTCTCGTCTGTCTCGGCTTATTAAGCCTGATACTATCAACCACCCTTTACAAGATTAATTTTAAGATGGATAACTCAGACACATACAGAGTACATATATGCTTCTTTTCCATCTATCCAGCTCTAGGGTGGTTTTGCCTCTTCTCCTTTTGAGTTTGATTGAGCTTTCACTTACACATACAACTAGGTGGGTTAGTGGTATTGTTAATCAAGCAATATGTAAGTTCAGTATTTTGGACTCATTATCATTGTTGTGATATCATGTTATAAGTCACCCCCCCCTTCCTCTCATGTGGTGTGGTGTAGAAAACTACCAATATTTAGGTCACCTTTACTTCTCTAGGTTTGCGAGGTACCCTTGGGCGATACAATCCATGGTGGTTGATAAGGATTCTTATGATTATAGAAGTCTGATCATCTTCTTTGACTAAGTAGCATGGGAACTATAACGACTTGGGATGATAGGAAACTATGGAATATTGATCATCTTTTCTTAAATCAACTTATTTTTTAGGATAGATTTCACATATCTGGGTTAGATTTCCTCCCTAAGATAGTTCTTATTCTTTAGGATAAACATCCTTCATTCCTAAGATTCATTATAATATCTTTGATAAGTTACTTTCCAACAGTTGAGAGGGGTTTTGTTTTGTTGCTATTTTTTCTTGAATTTTATTTTTTTGTTTTCTTTTAACTACTAATTAACTATTGGTATTAACAAGCATTATTTTATATGCAGGCAAAAGTCGAGTCTTCCCATCTTGATAGATGGTTATTAGTGAATGTGCAAACAAGGGAGGAATATATGGTAGTCATCCTTAAAACTTCTTGTGATATTTCTTTTTCAATATTGCATTGTAATTAAAATAAGCACTGATTTAACTATTGCCCTCTTCAGCTAAATAGAGAGACATGGTCAGATGTCACTGTCCAAGAATTATTGAGATCACATTTTTTATTTTGGGAGGTCTGTAGTTGTACCATGTTTTCGTAGTTAAGAATTTAGGATAAAGTGTTCTTTTACTAATGATTGCATACCGTATCATGTTATTTTATTTTAGATTAATGACAAAGACACTATTGAGGGACAAAAAGTATGTTGTTTTTACAAGTTGATGACATTGCCTGCAATTTTGGTCGTTGATCCAATAACAGGAGAGAAAATGTATGCTTGTCATGGAATGAAGCAACCAGATGACTTGCTAAAGGTAAAATTTTACCAATTTCTTACATAAAAAAGTTTCTCTAGGATTCAGTGGCAGTTGGTTTGGTTTGGAATTTTGCATTTAAAAAATGTGATGAGCTGGGTGTTATGCAACTGTGACTGTTTGATTCTCGGAAGTTTTCTCATTCTATTGGTGTGAGATTTAGGCTTTATTTGAGACAATTTTTTGACTGCTTCTTAAAATAGTTTTTTTTTTTTCAAAAAAATTTATTTTTTGTACTAAAAAGTTGCTTTAAAAAACAGTTTGAAAGCCGTCCCAAAAGAAGCCTTAATTTTTCCTTATTTTGATAAAAACATTTCCATAACTATTTCTTATGTATAATTTTTTTAGTATCTAATTTTTGCTGAAATTTGTGGATATTTACGGTCTTTTTATTATTAATTAGATTTAGGCTATGCTATCTTATGTTTTAATCTAAATAATGTGCATTGCTCGATTATTTAATAACTTATGATCTTTGAATGCTCAGTATCACTTTCTCTTGGTAAAGTTATTTTATTTATTTATTGTAATCTCTGCTCTCTCTCCCTATAAAAGTGTTATATGATGCTGAAGCCTTGTTTTTTTAGGATTTGATGAGATTTTCTGATAGAAGTCCAAAGCAGAACCTTCAAGCAAGCACACGAAGAGAAAATGCTAGTGCTTCAACACACCAAACAGGTTGGCTACTAATATGCTATAGGTTCTTTCGATGAACTGTTTTGTGAGAACTCATAATATATCTTGATTTAATTTGTTTTTAGCATGTTTTTTCTCCTTAACAAATTTAGATGCAATAGAAATAATTTTCATAGCAGTTTATGATTAGTTCAAAACATCTATCCTTTAAAATTTAGTTTCTTAATGGCATATTGGATCTGCCAAATTTTTTATGTTGCAAAAGTCTCCACAAATATGAAGTAAAACCTAGCTAAGAACAACAATTTTATCTTCTTACTTATACAGATGTCCAAATTTATGCTTTTTCAGAGGCAAATGAGGTGTCACAACCTAAGGAAATCAATCTAGAGCCCACAACTAAAACAAGCTATCCTCCTCTGCCAGAAGAACCTATAGAAAAGAAGCACACTTGCAAAGTAGGAATATGTCTTCCAAGCGGCGAGAGAGTGCAGAGGAGCTTCTTAAAAACAGATTCGACAAAGGTAAAGTTATTGTCAAATAATTAATCATAAAGCTGATCAATTTTTTGTTAGGAGGAATTATTCTGTGTGGACACCAAACAGTCCGGAGACCAATCAGAACGTGCCACATCACTCGGTACCGAGTGGCACCGAGCACCGGTACTGAGCAAAAAACTGACATGGTGCATTCTTGTTGGTTTCCAGACACCTTCTGGGTCCGCACATAATATTTTTTCGTCAGGATGGGCTTTAAAGCTCTTAGATTTGCATCGATATTAGCAATATCTATATGATATCTAAAGGCTGCACAAATATCCATGTAAGATTAAAAGTTTTGAAGCCATCTTGACATAAAACGTATTATCAAGATATCCTTATGTAATCTTTTTTTATTATGATATTGCATTTATAAATTTTATTTTGATTGCTTGTATGCAGTTGTTATGGTCTTTCTGTTCAACTTTGTTAAAGAAAGAAGAAGAATCTCAAAGTTTTTGCTTTATAGTTCCTCGTTCTCCTATGTTATTTTATGATACGGACACATCCTTTGAGGAGGCTGGTTTATCCAACACTCTGTTAAGACTAAGCTTCAGAGGAGATTAACAGATGATTAGCTGATGTTATCAACATTAAATTTTTAATTTTTATATATTTTTTTTATTCTTTGATTTAAGAGGCTTATTGTAATTAAAGTTTTGTTTGGTATGGTTTTCTTACTGCTTTGTAAAACAAATTTTTAGTATAAAAAATTTTTAAAGTAGAGATTTTTGTACGAAAAGCTATCCCAAACGAAGCCTAAGCGTTAATTCATTTTTTTAATGAGTTCAAATCTTGAACCTCGTTTAGAGGACAAAATTGTATGACACTGCATTGTATATTAAATTATTTATTGTAATTTTTTTTATTTTTGAAATTCCAAGAGAATTTGTTAATAATCGCTTTAACTTTAAGGAAAGGTGAAGAAATATGATGATGATGATGATGATAACATTATAATTTAAAAAATAAGAATTTTTTTAATAAATTAATATTAATTGCATTATTTTCATAAATAACACTGCCGTTGCCAGGTCCGAAGTCCTGGATGAAAAAAGTGGAGGGTTGCGTTAGGTAATCGACAGCCAGCGTAAAACTTGTCGAACAATAATGACATGAATCCTTTAAGAAGTTGTGTTAATGCTAGGGCGTCCCCTGGAAGCGACGTACTGTATGGCCTGAATACAGTGACAATTGTGCAAGGGCCGCTGCACCGGCGCTCGGGTGCAGTGTTAAATAGGCAAGGGTTCCCACATCAAGGACGGATGTGGGCAAAGAAGCTAGTCCATGAAATTAAAATTAGGATAGAAACTTGGAATATAGGCTCCCTTACAGGAAAATTAATTGAATTAATAGATATTAGGATAATGGGAAAATGCGGCAGACCTATTTCGGTTGGGTTACATCAAGGATCAGCCTTAAGCCCATATCTTTTTGCTTTAGTCTTGGATGTTCTCACTAGACATTTGCAAGAGGATGTACCTTGGTGTATGCTTTTTGCTGATGATATTCTTCTTGTTGATAAGACTAGAGATGGAGTTGAAGGTAAACTTGAATCCTTGGGGGAAGGCCTTTAGCTTGATGTACATCTTATATAGTATATTACATGATGTGAATACAAAGAGTCAATGTTGACGTGTTTGTTTGGTCGGGATGATTGATCATCAGTGTAAGTCGGAAGGATCGTAGTCGGTGGGCGACGGAGGTTGAAGGGACTATAGTCAGTGGGCGATGTAAGTCAGAAGGATCGTAGTCGGTGGATGACGGAGGTCAGAAGGACTGTAGTCGGTGGGCGACACAAGTCGTAAGGACCATAGTCTGCGAGCGATGGAGGTCGGAAGGACTGTAGTCGATGGGCGACGTAAGTAAGAACCGTAGTTGGTGAGCAACGGAGGTTGGAAGGACTATTGTCGGTGGGCGACGTAAGTTAGAAGGACCGTAGTCGGCGGGTGATGGATGTTGAAAGGATTGTAGTCAGTGGGCAACATAAGTTGAAAGGACTGTAGTTGGCGGGCGACAAAGGTCGTAAAGACTGTTGTCTGACGACGTAGGTCGAAAGGATTGTGTATCGTAGAAGTCCAATAATGGACATAAATCCAGCATCAGATAGATGTCCGGAGAAAATCCAACAGCAGGTAAAAGTCCAGCGTTGGGTATAAACTTGGCGACAAGCGGAGGCGCGACGTCGGGTAGAAGTCCGACGTTAGTTGGCAGCCGAGGAGAACTCCGACGTCACTTGGAGGTTAATTGGGCAGAATTTCGACGTCACTTGCAAGTCAGGCAGATTTGTGGCATCCTGTGGAAGTCGGATAAAATTCCGGCGTCCCATGGAAGTCGAGCAAAATTCCAGCGACTCGTGGAAGTCGGGCAGAATTCCGGCGGTGGTCGAGGAGGAATTTCTTCCCTCTTATCTTTCTTCTTTTCTCTTCTCCTTCTTCATGCTTCTTGCTTGCCTAGCTCCGATCCCCTCTCAAGAGAAATGAGGGGTCTATTTATAAATTTATGGAGTGGCATGACCTGTAAATAGATGAGAGATCTGGGGTGAATGTGGAGTGGTTTAGATGGACAACCGATATTGAATCCTTTGATTGTGGACTGTTCATCAGACATTTGAAGGTTCTAATGATATCAGAATTCAGCGATCTTAGGCTCGTTGGATTCGTCTCGTCGAACTGATCGATTCAACTATAAGCATGTCACGTTTAGAAATCGTTTGGCAATCCAAATTGTGGTTCGAACCTTCCAACATGGCTTCGCGTCCTCGATTTGGACTCATTTAAGCTCGGATTGAGTTGAATTTGGTGTTGTTAGGTTTGTATTTCTGAGACACTCAGTTTGACTATAAGTTTGGTGAAATCGTAGTTTAGATGATCCTGAATCTAATACATCACACAACCAAAGTATAAAAATAGGCCAATGAAAATAAAAGTACAGTCAAAGGATTACAATTATTGACACTATAATAATGATTTGATAAATTTAATAATTTTGTGACTTAAGCTTTTATTTTCTTATTTTAATTTGATAAAATTACATGTTTTATTAATGCATTCAGTATATTGAATTTGTTGGAAACTTGTGGTTTTTATTTTTGGGTTGTTATTTCTTAAAAGTAAAGAAGCTTTTTAAGTATTAATAATTTATCTTCCAAATTAGGACTTGCTTGTTCGTTAATTTTTACTATTTTTTCATCCCACAACAGCAAAATTTATTTATTTGATAAAACTACTTTTTTTCTAAATATGTTCTGAATACTACTATTTTTGTATTTTTTTTCAAAAATTTTTCTGTTATTAACTTCTCAATATAAAAAAACTCTCTTCTGTCAAACAACAAATTTATAACTAACATTTACCAAATTTAAAAACAACTTAATGGTTAGGTCTGCGAGGGAAAGCTTATAAAAACCTCTTCCAACTAGTCCAATATATCCTTCTTTTGATCATAAATTCCTTCGCTATTGCTCTTCCTCTTCCACCTTCAGAAAAATTTTCTCTGATCAACAATCCTTGTCTGTAAATCCACAAACGGCTGAATAGGAGAAACATTTTTGAATCGGTGAAATATTTTCGATCTTGCGGAAGGGACGAACCGAAATTTTGTCGAGCTCATCGTCAACGAATAATTCGTGGCCGCTCGTCCTGATTGATAGTGTCCGGCGGCGAACGGCAGGTAAGGCTTGTTTTAATTTGATTTGAATTTTATCGATTTGCGTGTAGGAATTACATTGGGCAAATTTATAGTTCTTCTTGGATGATTTGGACGTTCTGAATACAATGACGCAGTCCGTTTTGCGTTCGAACGTCGTTTGAGAGACGTCGTGCATTATTTTCGGGAGTCGGTCGCCAATTTTTGACTGGTCGCACTCGATTCAACTGCGAGAGGTATCGACCTAAAGGAATTTGATGTTCTGGTTATAACGAAGATGTCCGTTCGGCGATTGGACATCATTTGACCCTTCAAATGATTAATTGTGTCAACACGTACACGCGTCACTTTATCACCGATTTTGTTCTTTTCATACGCGTATTTGATTTGTAAGTCAACACAACCTAAATTGAATCGTTTAATAAATGTGTAAAAAGTATCAACCTGAACCCAACCTATTAAGCCTTTTTTTAATAATTATTAACTATAAATTTATGATATTTCATAAAACATAATTAGATTATACCTATTACTTACATACATGTAAAAAGAATATATTAATATAGTCATTTTGATATAAAAATATATCTGTGGGACCACTTGAATCAGACTTGTTTAATAAATGGCCGAAAAACTAGATTCAAATCTGACTCGTTTATTAAATGGGTAATCCATAACATAGATTTTTTGTGCAAGATCACTTATTGACACCTATAGCAATGATTTAATAAATTCACGAATATTTGCAATTTTGTATAATTTGCATGACTTCAGCTTTTATTTTTGTATTTTAATTTATTGGAATCTATATTTGTATTAATTCAATATGAATCATGAATAAACTGAGCAAAATACTCATCAATTGCACACGAAAAAGTTGGCTACTCTGACCATAATGATAGAAAAATCTTTGCAACAAATTGTGGTTATCATAAAAGGTATTTTTCCTTTTCATTTCAGTTCTTTGCAATGGAGGCCAACAAGCAGGAACTTGTCTCCACTTTTCTTGAGATCACAATGTGCAATTGCAGGGTTTCTGCTTTGAAGATCCTCGAGGTTCATAGTTACATTTGTTATTAACATATTTTTATTATAAAATGATTTTTATCATGCAATGAATGATTCAAAAATGTTTAATTATCTTCTACAGGATGTAGAATGGAACATTGAGGCTGCTATTCAATTGTTTTTTGAGGGTGGAAGCTCACATGGAGAATCGGTAGTGCTACCATCTAATCCTTTTTTGTATTCGGATTCCACTATTATACCTACGTAAGTTATTTGTGATTTTTGAAATAATTTTTGTATTTGTTTCTTTGGTAGGTTTTTGAAATATTTGAATTTGATTTTTGAAAAAATAAAATAAAATTTGTAGTGGTTGGGGCTCAGCCGATGAAGATGAAGATGAAGATGAAGTTGATGATGGTCAAAACCATTTTGACCTTGATGCCACTATCCAACCTAGGTAAGTGGATTTTTTTCTTAATATAAGTATGGAATTGGTTTCTTTGGTGGGTTTTTTGAATAATGTAATTTTGAAAGTGGGGTTAGGTGCCCAGAGGATGAAAATGAAGGTGAAGATGCTCAAGAACATTGGGATTTTGATCCCGAAATTGTGCCCACGTAAGTGGATTTTAGGTGTGATTCTTTAAACTAATTTTTGCTAGAATTTGAAATATTTTATTCTAAAAAAATATATTTTCAGGGGTTGGGGTTCGGCGGATGAAATTGAAGTTTTGGAATCTCAGGAACATGAGCATGGGTATAAATGAGTGTGATAATCAACATTCATTATTTCAACCATACAACATATTGTTCCTTTGATAATTTTAATAATATTGTAATTTCTCTTCTTACATGAATGGAACGTTGATGTTGCGGACTTGCATCCATTAGTGTTGATGGAGCCCTTGAATATCCCAATTTTTCACCACCTAGTAATGAGAGGCTTTATGATGATGATTCAGAATCAGATAGGTATGTT